ACGACATGAATTGGCACATGGGGGGGTGACAATGTGGATGGGGAGCATGATGAGGACCGGGGCAATCGGAGGGGCATGAAGAGGGTGGGGCCAAAGCGAAGGGATATTTGGAAGAGGCGGGGGATGGGGCATTAGTTCGAGGCGGGCGCCAGCTAACGATTAGCTGAACAGTGTTCTGCGTGTCCGCGCACCCCCCCAGAACACAGTGATTGGTTGCAGAACTGCATGATATGGGTAATCGTGCGCTTCGTGTTTCCAGGCCGAAGGCTCGAGCCCGCGACGCCCCTTGGCGTCGCGATGATGCCGCCCCGATTTGCAAGACCGCATATGCACATATACGCATACTATGTGTTGCAACGCTTGTTTCACCATCCTCCTTTGTATAGTAACAGACCCACGTTGGAATCCAACTAAGGCCCCCGTCTTCGCATTAGGGATAAGAATTCTGGGCGTTATGGTTCGATTCACCTACAGAACTGACCCCCTTATCCGTAATGTTCCTCGCCCTCCTGATTTCAGTCCCCCCCAAAAAAGTCGACGGGACCTTTTTTTGGCAGACATTTCGGGCATTCTCTTCCATTCCATTCCACTCAATTCAAGCCCATTCCAGTCCATTCCATTCCATTCCGCCGCCATGGCCGGGCTTGGAGCTGCGCTCGAGTCAAGGAAGTGCTGCGTGGGGGATGCTGCCCAGGCGCTGCACGCACCAACCTCAGAAGCAACGCTGTTTGCTGGAGTTTTCCCCCGGGCACCCGGGAAGCGCCGCGCAAGGGAACTGCGCGCGAGCCCAAGAAACGCTGCCTCTACAGCGGAAATCATGCCAAGAAACACCCTGCTCAATTCCAGGGTGCCCTGGGCTACTTAGGTGTAGATGGTTCTGCGACACGAGCTGCCTGGACCCCGCCACGTCCCCCCCCCCCCGCGACGTCGCGATTGTTTCGCGGCGTCGACCCCCAGAGGTTCCGCAACCCATTTTTCCAAGGATTGAGTCAGGCATGTCCCTTTACAGGACAACTATTCAAAAATAATCAAAAAATAGTGTGGGGACGATTTTCCAATGTTTGACATATTTGGAACATCCTTTGGGTATGTTTTATTGTTCGTCCAAAATCCGCCTGTAGGAGGACATGCCCGACCCAACACAAGGTCCAGGTGTTCATCCCGAGGCGTTACGTGACGGCCCCTGGTCCCGGCAAGGGCCCCTGGAGGCCGAACACAACGAAGGCCGCTTTCCCGACGTATTTTTTGGCATGACTAGAGGGTGTTTGGGCCCACCCAGAAGAAGTTTGTCCTTGGGCCACCGCAGCACTAGCGCCGGGTGGAGCGCGCGCCCGGTCGGCCGGGTCGCAACCGTCGTCGTCGCCGCCGCCGCGGCCGTCGTCGTCGTTGCCGTTGCCGTCGTCGTCGTCGCCGGCGTCGTTTTCCACGTCGTCGTCGCCGTCGACGCCGCCGCCGCCGTCGTCGGCGTCGTTGTCCACGTCTTCGTCAACGTCGTCGCCGACGCCGCCGCCGTCGTCGTGGTCGGCGCCGTCCTCCACGATGTCGACGCCGTCCACGCCGCCGCCACCGTCGTCGTCGTCGGCGTCGTCGCCGTGGTCGCCGCCGCCGTCGCCGTCGTCGTCGTCGCGGTCGTCGTCGTCGGCGTCGTCGTCGTCGTCGAGAGGGGCCGGCGGCGGCCCGCGCTACGTCCTCTGCCGCGGGCGGGGCGGCCCGCCGGCGGCGCGGCTGCCCGCCCCGCGCCGCGGCGAGCTGCGGGCGTTCGCCGCGTCCGTCCGGAGGGGGCCCGGGAGGAGGAGGGGGAGCGAGGAGGGGGAGGAGGAGGAGGAGGAGGAGGAGGAGGAGGAGGAGGGAGAGAGGAGGGGAGGAGGTCTTGGAGGAGGAGGCAGCACGTGCCGTGTTCGAGGTGTCCGTGTTAACACGCGGCTCGTTGGCTCAACGTGGCCGTCCCAGCCCGCTCGACGCGGAACTCTTCCGCGTCTGAGAGCGTTTCCTTCCCCCTCCCTCCGCGCGGCCGCCCGCGTCCTTGTCCCTCTCGCGCACGTGGGCCAATTCGCCGTTCGGTTGCCCCGAATTGCCACACGCTGGAGCTGGAGCGCACCGCCTCTGCCTCGCCGCCGACAGAAAAAGTTGGCTCAGCGTGTTGGCCCACACTTTGGCGATCGCATCGCTGCGAACGTACGTTTTCAGTCTACGTGTTGTGCTCTTTGTCAACGCGATACGTGTTGCGTGTTGCGTATCGTGGCAGCTCAGAGGAGGGGTGGTGGTGCGGATCTGGGGCGGCCTAGCCGACTCCTAGTAAGCCATCACCAGGGCCACCCCGACCCCGACAATCGGCGTCCACTAAGCGACCCTGGGCGTTTACCAGACAGCCCTGCCCTGCTCGATTTCTTCCTTGGGTGCGTTTGCTGAACGGCTTCGCTTGCTGGGGTGCTTCTCATGGGCTGGATTTTCTGCTCTCTACCGTCCCCTTTCGTCACGACCCCCTCGCCTCACCGGAAGATCTACGTGTGCGGCCAGAGGGGGGCCTGGAGGGCGCGGGGGACGTCACGGACGGTGCGGATCTGGGGTGAAGGATCTGGGCCTCCTTGATGGGATCCGGGCAGATGGGGGTCGGAGGATCGCATCGCATCGCCGATGCATCGGCGATGCGGGTCGATGTGGAGCGCGACTTTCGCGATTGTCTGCTCGCCGACGTCGACGATGCATCGACGGTGCATCATCGATGTACCGGCGATGCGGCGAGATCAACCGACCCCATCATTTGTTTGATGCGGCGAGATCCTCCGACCCCATCGTGCATTCACTCGGACACCATCTGGGAGGCCTCTACAGAGGGAACCCAGACCCCCTCGAGTCATGACAAATCACGACGGCTTGTCTTTCGCAACTTTCGGCCTCTGGGGGCCCTTGCACGGCCTCGGGGCCAAACGACCCAGGCTGGCAAGCCGGTCCCAGGAAATGGGTCGAGACCTGTCATGGTCGACGTAATGGAACGAAACTCGCGACGTCGGGGGTCTGGGGAGGGGGTGGTGGTGCGGATCTTGGACGGAGAGCTTCTAGGACTCCCAGATCGGGTCGGAGTAGATGGGCCCGATGTGGGGCCCGATTTTCTCCACGCCGACGCCGCCGATGCATCGCCGACGTCGCCGATGCATCGCCCATGCATCGCCGTTGCGTCGCCGATGCGTCGACGATGCGGCGCGAGCCTCCTCCGCCTGCTCCGTCCCCATCCGGGAGGCTTCTGGCCCGGGGAGGGGAAGCCGAGGCGTGGGAGGAGGAGGAGGAGGAGGAGGAGGAGGAGGAGGACTCCCAGGAGGAGGAGGAGGCCCCACCTGGGAGGCTTCTGGCCCTGGAGGGGGCGGCATGGTGGCGTGGGCCCTGGGGCGGAGGGCTCCCCCGGGGAGGGCTCGCCGAGGCGTCGAGGGCCCCGCCCGAATTGGGCCTCCCCAGGGTGGGGTCGGAGGCTCGCGCCGCAGCGCCGAGGGCGCCGATGCGGCTCGGTGTGGGGCCCGGTGCTCTCCACGCCGGCGGGCACCGATGGTCGGGGGAGAAAAAGATACGGATACGTGTTGTCCCCCTTCGTTTTCGGCCTTTCCCGGTCCTCCTGGGGAATCCTCGTTGTCACCGCTGGATTCGCCTCGAAATTCTGGTCAGAACGCACCCCAAGATAGGTCCGGGGACAACACGTATCCGTATCTTTTCGCCCGCCAAGATGGCACAGCCGACGCCTCGACGATAGGCATCGCCGGTGCGCATCGGCGATGTGCATCGGCGGTGCGGCGCGATCCTCCGACCCCAGCTGCTCGGACCCCAGTTGGGAGGCCTCGGGCCCAGGAGGAGGGGGGAGGGGGCGGATCTGGGGCGGAGGGGGGGTGCCCCCGGGAAGGGCGTCGAGGGCCCCGCGGGCTGGGCAGAGGCCGTCCCGTGCGAAGTCAGAGTGGACGGGCTCCCGGGCATCGAGGACAGAAGGTCCAGGCTTCTGGAGTTTAGCCCCCCCTCTTGTTTCGGCAGCCAAGCATGGGAGCATCGTGTAGCCTCGCAATTCCGGTTCTCGAGTGCACTAACGTCGATTCGCGTCGAGTGATCGATGGGATCGCCCCGATTTTAGCGTCGAACAGCGTCGATTCGCAAGAGCCAACACGATTGTATGAAAGGCCCCCATGACTTGCCACATAATGGTGGCGGTGGTGGTCAAGCATGCCCGCGTCCCGACAAAATCTCGGGGGGACCTCGCCTGGCCCCAGGGCCTTCAGCAGACAGCCAGGATGGAGACTCGGCTCATGGGAAAGGATCGTTACGTCCGGCGTTGCCGATGCGTTGGCGAAGTGAACAGCGTCGCCGATGCACCGCCGACGACGCTGATGCAACGGCGATGCATCGGCGATGCGTCACGCGAAGGAGGAGGAGGGGGGAGGAGGAGGAGGAGGAGGAGGAGGAGGAGGAGGAGGAGGAGGAGGAGGAGGGAGGAGGAGGAGGAGGAGGAGGAGGAGGAGAAGGAGGAGGAGGAGGGGCGAGAGAGGAGAGAGGAGAGAGGAGAGGGGGGATGAGGAGGAGGAGGTGGAGGAGGAGGAGGAGGAGGGAGGAGGAGGAGGAGGACAGGAGGAGAGGAGGAGGAGGAGGAGGAGGAGGAGAGGAGGAGGAGCAGGAGAGGAGGAGGAGGTGGAGGGGGAGGAGGAGGAGGAGGAGGAGGAGGAGGAGGAGGAGGAGGAGGAGAAGGACGAGGAGGAGAAGGACGAGGAGGAGGGGTAGGGGGAGGGGGAGGAGGAGGCGGACGAGGAGGAGGAGGAGGAGGAGGAGGAGGAGGACGAGGAGGAGGAGGAGCATGGGAGAGGGAGCACTCGGAAGAGGAGGAGGAGGAGGAGCAGGAGGAATGGGGCCATGGTGGCCCCTTGCGTGCCGCCGCTTCCTCCCTCGTGCCCTCGGCCACAATATTTCTAAACTGTCCAAGTTGGGATCTAAGCCGCCGGCCTGTTGGTCGTGCGCTCTTCCGCCGTCCTCTCATGGAGCCCTCCGGCCCGTGGCTCCAGATGGTGGGCCTTCCGCTCCGGGCTCGCCGCTGGCGCTGCGGGTCGCGCTTCTGCTGGACGACGTCGGCGACGGGGCCCAAAGTCCACCGCAGCGGGCGACGACGACGACGACGACGACGACGACGACGGCGACGACGACGACGACGACGACGACGACGACGACGACGACGACGGACGGCGGCGGCGGGGGCGGTGGCGGCGGCGGCGGCGGCGACAGCGGTGGCGACGACGACGGGCGACAACGGACGGCGGCGGACGTTTGTCCTCCTCACGGTCTGCGAAGGTTGAGCATCGAATTGTTTGGGCCCGCGGAGGCCTCCAGGAGCCCCCGACCTCCTGGGACCTCCGCGGAGGCCTGGAAAGCCCTCCCTGCATCCCCCATCCGCTCGGCTCTCAGACGGGCCCCCTTGGGTTCGCAAGGGGCGGGCTTCGGGGCCCGAATGCTGTCGAAAGCCCAGGCTCGACCTGGCTCAGGCCCAAGCGTGTGGCCCGGGCTGGTCAAACTGGTGCTGGGTCGACGGGGGCCCTCCATGAAAATATAAGAAAACATGGGGAGTCCTTTTATTTGTGTGTATTTATTTGTGTGTCCCAGGGCCCCTTCAGAAACGCCAGCCCTGGGGAAAGGGTAATGAAGGATTTCTGGGGACCTCGCATTAAACCAATTCAGGATATCGGACGACTGGGTTCGGGATGCGCCCGGACTGCGCGAACGAGCATTCCCGGCGACTCCTGGTGCGGAAGGTGGCGCTGGAGCCCCCGCCTGGAGGCCTGCATCACGAGGTCTCCCTCACCGACCCTTCCCGTATACTCCTCCCGCTCCCCAGGGGATGGAGTGAGAGCACCCCTCCCCCGCCCTCCCGCACCCCCTCGCGCCTCTCCCCCCCGCCCCCCCGCATCCCCCCCCCCGCCCTCCGGCATCCGCCCCCACCCCCGCCCGCGCCCCTTCCCCCCCCCCCCCGCGCCCCTTCCCCCCCCCCCGCGCCCCTTCCCCCCCGCCCGCCGCCCTTCCCCCCCCCCGCCCCCTTCCCCCCCCCCGCGCCCCTTCCCCCCCCCCCCCCCCCCCTCCCGCACCCCCCCCCCCCTCTCCCTCGCGTGGCCGACGTGGGCCGGGCGGGCCGCCCCGGGGGCCCGCCCGCGCTCCCCCCCCCCCCCCGAGGCGCCGGCGAGCCGTGGAGCGCCACGGACGTCACCCATGGGGCCCTGGCGGCCTCGTCGCCCTTCCAGCGCGCCGGCCACGCCCGCCACGTGTCCTACGGCAAGTGCTTCGGCAGGCCCCTGCCAGCGGGCACCGGAGTGGGCTGCCGCGTGGTGCCTCCCGGCTCGAAGAGAACTGCCCAGAGATCCGACGCTCCACAAGGATGGAGCGGCGGGATTTGGTTTATTTTCGGCCTCCAGGGGCCCTCGCTGGGCCTCGGGACCGTCCAAAAACCATTCAGGACGAAACACCGGCCCTATAGGGAAGTGGCCCAGACCTGCACCAACAAAAATTGGAGCGGCCGGATGTCTGTGTGTATTCCTCCCTGGCGGGGATCGTCCATCATGGGGTCGGAGGATCGCGCCGCATCGCCGATGCATCGGCGATGTGGCGCGATGTGGAGCCCGATTTTCCCCACGCGGACGTCGCCGCTGCATCGCCGACGTCGCCGACGCATTGCCGATGTATAGGCGGTGCATTGCCGATGCAGCTGCGATGCGGCGAGATCTTCCAGTCCTATCTGCTCCGACCCTACCTAGGAGGCCTCTGGCGAAGGGGGCCCAGACTCCTCCAGGATCGGGTCATTCAATCTTGGCGTGCGCCCCTCACTTGAGCGACGGAAGAACACGGGGTCGTCTTTGCCGACACTGGCGTGTAGGCTGCCCGCGTCAGGTGGCGCGTCAGCGCCCTCGCCCCCAAAACAGCGTGCCGCGCGGGCGGCCTGCGTAGGCCGCGGCGCAAGGTATATTTGTCATCTCGCGCAAGGCCCCTTGCCATCGCGCGTGGCGTTCCCGGCTTGTCTGGAGGTGTTCCGTCTCTAGGCTCGGTGCCGTTCGCTCTGTGCTCGTTGTTGCGGGCGCGGTGTCGGGGGGAGACACAAACAAAAAACGCAAGACCCATGTCTGATCGTCGCTCATTTGTGAGCGTTTCTTTTCCTCCCCAGGGTGACGCTCGTCACCCAGGCCAAACCCCCACCACCCCGCCCCGGTAACGCTAACGATCGTACTGGGAGGGGAGGGGGAGTTGGACCCCCCCGACATGCTGTGGTGCACACGCGCAGGCGATTGATGCGCCGGTGGCGCGGACGCACTCTGGCGGGTGCACGCCGCGGCCGCCGTCACCGTTACCCTCCCGCCCGCCCCCCCCCTCCCCCGGGTAACGGCTCACGTGTTGCTAAAGGTGCCCCGGGCCCAAGGCGCACCCAGCTTTTCGCTCAATCTTCCAGCCCCCAGGGGCTTTCTGGGGCGCGTGAGGGGTGCTCGGGAGGCCGCGGGGGCCTCTGTGGAAATCCTGGGGGCCGGCCAAGGGCACTTCTGGCAACACCCGAGCGACCGTTGCCCAGGAAAGAACAACATGAACGGTCACCTTGTTTCCCTACAGGCCTCCCAGATGGTGTCGGAGCAGATGGGGCCGGAGGATCGCGCCGCATCGCCGATGCATCGGCGATGCGGCGCGATGTGGAGCCCGATCTTCCCCACGCCGATGCGTCGCCGCTGCATCGCCGACCGCTGCATCGCCGATGCCTCGGCGATGCATGGACGCTGCGGCGCGACCCCTTCTGCCCCCCCCCCCCTCTGCTCGGACCGCGATCTGCCGACCCTCCCTCTGCTCGGACCCCCCCCCTGCTCGGACCCTTCGACCCTCCCCCCCTCTGCTCGGACCCCCCCCCCCCTCTGCTCGGACCCCCGACCCTTCTGCCCCCCCCCCCCCCCTCTGCACGGACCGCGATCCTCCGACCCCCCCTCTGCTCGGACCCCAGCTGGGAGGCCCCCGGTTCCGTCCGGCACGGGGAGCCGGGCGGGGGGGGGGTCGGGGCGGCCGGGCCCGCCGGCGCAAGTCGGGCGGGTCCCTCTACAGGAGGAGCTTTCAAGAATAATAAAAAGAGGGCGCCCCCCCCCCCGCGGGGAGGGGGGTCGGGGTGGCCTCGCCCGCAGGCTGGAGTCGGGCGGGTGCCCTCTGCAGGAGGAGCTCTCAAAAACAGTAACAAAAAAAGCATATTGTGGGGACGATTTGTTTTTATTATTTCTGGTCATTTTTGAATTTGTGTTGGATATGTTCATTTTCTCCTTCAAAATCTGCCTGCAGGGGGACATGCTCGACCTGACCGCAAGGTTTTCGGGACGCATGTTTTCGCCAGATGATTTCTCGAACAGAAACCAGATGTCTTATTTCTTGATTTGACGATTTCTTTTTTTTGCCGCTCGTCGATTCTTTGGCAGCGCGCTCTTCGCGCGTGCCCCAAGATCGATGCATCGAATTGGGCGGGCGACAGTGTCGCGCAGGTGGCATCGTGTCACGCTTTTGTTCGAAATGCCAGCTCGCGCCTTCAGCGAGCATTGCTTCGGTGGTGGTGGCCTTCAGCGTGATGACAGACACGGCTTCGGGCCGCGCGGGGCCATGGTGTTCGGTCTCATCCCCATTCCCATTCCTTCTTTCCCCCGCGGAGGTCTGCGATGGCACCTCGCCGTGTTTCCATGCTGCCAGGCGCGCGGCAGTCGTGGATTGCGCGCACCCCATGTACAAGTAAAATTGGTGGCGAGTCGGGGCGGCGTGTGGGGGCGCGCAACCTCGCGCGCATGATGGCCCCGGAGAGGGTTGGCGAAGCTCGTTCATGCCTTCTGTTTTTCCCAACCATCCTGTTGTGTTGGGTCCCCGTTTTGAAGAGACGGTCCCCGCGTTTCCTCTTTCCTTCCTCCTCCCCTCCTCCGCCCTCCTCCCGTCACCCCCCTCACTTTGGCACACCTCTCACGCGCTTCGTGGCCCCATGCTCCGCTGAAGCTTCCAGTGGCGCATTTCGCACGCGTCTCTGCCACACATTTCAGAACACCGCTCACATGTTTCGTGGCCCCACAGGGGCTCCGCTGAAGGTCCAAGCGGCGCATTTCGCATGCGTCCCCGCCACCCATTTCGGCTCACCCTTCACACGCTTCGTGGCCCCATAGGAGCTCCGCTGAATGTCCCAGTGGCGCATTTCGCATGTGTCCCCATGTCGGCATGCCCCTCACACGTGTCGTGGCCCTGTAAGGGTTTCCGGCTGAAGGTCCCAGCGGCGCCGTTCGCATGCGCCCCCGCCACCCAATTCGCCACGCCCCTCACATGTTTCGTGGCCCCATAGGAGCTCCGCCGAAGGTCCCGTTGGCACAGTTCGCATGCGCCCCCGCGAAGCATGTAGGCAGACCATTCACACGCTTCGTGGCCCCATGGGGAGCTCCGCTGAAAGTCCCAGCGGCGCATTTCGCATGCGCTCGCGCCACAAATTTCGGCACACCTTTCACACGTTTCGTTACCCCATAGGAGCCCCGCTGAAGGTTCCAGTGGCGCCGTCCGCAGGCGCCCCCGCCACCCAATTCGGCACGCCCCTCACATGTTTCGTGGCCCCACAGGAGCTCCGACGACGGACGCAGAGGCACAGTTTGCATGCGCCCCCCTCCACCCATGCCGGCGCATCCCTCACACGGTTCGTGGCCCCATAGGAGCTCCGCCGAACGTTTCATTGGCACAGTTCGCATGCGTCCACGCCACCCATTTCGGCACACCCCTCACAAGTTTCGTGGCCCCATAGGAGTTGCGTTGAAGGTCCCAGCGGCGCCGTTCGCATGCGTCCCCGCCTCCCACCCCGGCGCCCCCCTCAGACGCTTCGTGGCCCCTCAGGAGCTCCGCCGAATGCCCCTCACACGTTTCGTGGCCCCACAGTTCGCATGCGTCCCCGTTCCACCCATTCCGGCACACCTCTCACACGTTTCGTGGCCCCATAGCAGCTCCGCCGATAGTCTCAGTAGCACAGTTCGCATGCGCCCCCACCACCCAATTCGGCACGCCCCTCACATGTTTCGTGGCCAAATATGAGCTCTGACGACGGAGGCTGTGGGAGAGTTCGCATGCGCCCCCGCCACCATGACGGCACACCCCTCACACATTTCGTGGCCTCACAGGAGTTCCGCCGAAAGTCTCATTGGCACAGGTCACATGAGTCTCCGCCATCAATTTCGACACACTTCTCACACGCTTCGTGGCCCCATAGGAGTTTCGCTGAAGGTCCCTGCGGCGCCGTTCGCATGCGTCCCCGCCACCCATGACGGCACATCCCTCACACGTTTCGTGGCCCCACAGGAGCTCCGCCGAAGGCCCCAGCGGCACACTTCGCATGCGCCCCTGCCGATAATTTCGGCACAACTTTCACACGTTTTCCACAGGGAGCTCCGCCGAAGCCACCAGTGGCACAGTTTGAATGCGTCCCCGCCACCCATTTAGGCAGACCCCTCACACGCTTCGTGCCCCCATTGGAGCTCCGCAGAAAGACCCGCTGGCACATTTTGCATGCGACCCCGCCACCCATTGCGGCACATCCCTCACACGGTTCGTGGCCCCATAGGAAATTCAACCGAAGGTCCCAGTGGTGCAGTTCGCATGCGTCCCCGCCACCCATTTCGGCACCCCACAGGGAGCTTCACCGAAGGCCCCAACTTCACCGAAGGTCCCCTCCAACCATGTAGGCACACCTTTCACGCGGTTCGTGGCCCCATGGGGAGCTCCACCAAAGGCCCCAGTGGCACAGTTTAAATGCGTCCCCGCCACCCATGTCTGCACCCCCTTCTCATGTTTCGCCGAAAGCCCCAGCGGCACAGTTTACCTGCGTCCCCGCCACCCATGTCGGCACGCCCATCACGCGATTCGTGGCCCCAAAGGGGGCCCCACCGAAAGTCTCAGCGTCACAGTTTATTTGCGTCCCCGCCACCCATGTCGGCACGCCCCTCACACGGTTCGTGGAGGGGGCTTCACCGAAGATCCTCCCAGTGGCACAGTTGACACGCGCCCGTGCAACCTATTTCGGCACACCCCTGACACGGTTCGCGGTTCCATAGGGAGTTCCTCCGAAGGCCCCAAAGGGGTGAGGCCACATGCGTCCCCGCCACCCAATGTCGGCACATCCTTCACACGGTTTTTGGCCCCATGGGGAGCTCCACCGAAGGACCCAGGGGGTGCGTTCCCATGCCATGTCGGCACCCCCATCACACGGTTCGTGCCCCCATATACGTAGAGAGCTCCACCGAAGGCCCCACGGGGTGCGTCCACATGCGTCTCAGGCAATCATGTCGGCACAACTTGCACACGGTTCGTTTTATTGCCCTCGCGGTATTCGCAGCTTGTCTCGGATTAAACCATTCATGAGTATCATTGCTAGTTGTCCCGCTAAGGTCCCGGCTAATTTCCCCGTCGATTTTTCCCGTTAATTTCCCGGCTAAGTGCTCCCGCTAATTTCCCAATCAATTGTTTGGCAAATTTCCGAGCGAATTTCCTATCGAAATTTGGCGCCAGAGGTGCCGCGCATTGGGCACGGTAGTTGTCCCGCGAATTACTTCCCAGGCAGACTGTGCCAGAATTTGCAAGGGAATTACCCGGGCAATTGGCATTCCTTTCCGCCCGCCGCCCGCCCGCCGGCGTCTCGCCGCCAGCCCGCCGCCCGCGCCGCACGCCCGCCGCCCGCCCGTTGCCCGCCGCTCCCCGCGCCGCCCGCGCCGCCCGCGCCCCCCACGCCGCTCGCGCTTGCGGGCGCCCGTGGGCGTCTACATCGATTCAGCTGGTCGTGGAAAGTGCGGCCCGCGCGCGCCGCCGCCTTCCGATTCCCATCCTCCTGCTCCTCTCCTCATTCTTTTCTCCCCCTTCCCCCTGTCCCCCCCTTCGCTCCCCCCTCTCTCCCCTCCCCTTTCTGCCTCCCTTTCCCGCTGCATTCTCCCCCTCCCTTCCTCCTTCCGTTGTTCCCCCCTGCCCCCCCCCCCCCCCTCGGTTCCCTCCCGCGCTCTCCCTTCCCCTTTCGCCTGGAGGCGGAAGAGGGGCAGAGCGCTGGAGAGGAGGGGGGGAGGGATGGTAGGACGGAGGCGGGATGCGGATGCGCCAGGGCGGTGCGCGAAAGAAATGAAGGGAAGGGGTGCAGGTGGAAGCGGTCGGCTGGAGGACGGCCGGAGGACGCAACCACTGCGTTTTTCGAACCATCCGTCGGCGACCAACAGGTGGCGCCGTTCGTTTCACAGCAAAGGTCGGCCACGAGAGTTGCTTCACGTCGACGTCGCCGATGCATTGCCGACGTCGACGATGCGTCGCCGGTGCATCCACGATGCGTCGCCGATGCATCGGCGATGCATCGCCGATGCATCGGCGATGAGGCGCGATCCTCCGACCACACCTACGCCGACCCCATCTAGGAGGCCTCCAGTATGTCGAGCGCGCTTCTTACACAGGAGTGCCCCGTATCTTCCCACCCCCCGTCCTGCCAACCCGATAATTTCGGCGGCGAGCGAGGGGGGGAGTGAGAAGGAAAAGGCCTTCTCTGAAGGCGGCGGGACTTCTCAGAAACCCTCGCGCCTTCTGGGAGTTTTTCTTGCGTCTTCAGGGGAAGCCCAGACAACTTCTCAGAAGGTCCGAGGACTTTCAAGCCTTCTGAGCAGGCCCGCCCCTTCTCGATCCCCCCTTCGCTCGCCGCCGACAGTTGTCTTTCTGGGCACGCTGGAAAGATCCCTGCGTGCGACGTCTGGGGGAGGGGCTCCCGGGCATCGAGGACCCCTCGGGCCCTGCCGAGAGCCGCGGCGGGAGGCGCTTCGCCACTTCCCCGGGCCTCTGGGGACCCCCTTCCCGAAGCCTCGGGCCTCTGGGGCCTCGGGGCCGCCAACAAAAACAGCCGGCTCGGGAGGGATTATCTGCCCTGGGGCAAGGGTCGGGACCCTTGGGGGTCGACGTGGTCACACATGGGGCGTTCCAAAAAGGGCTTTTCCTTCGAGGATCGAAGGAGTTGCCATCTCTTCCGCGGCTGAAGGTCGGCGGAAGTAAAACGAGGCCGCCTCCGCCAGCGGAAGCCGGCGGAAGCTCGGCGGAAGGCGGCGGAAGTAACAGATGCGCCCCCAAGGGATACAAACGTTTTTGGGTTCTGGGTTTCCGAAATCGCCCACGCGGGCACACATGAAGGAAACACGACGACGGGGGTCTGGTGAGGCTGCAGGCTTCTGGCTGGAGTTTTCAGCAGGGGAGAAACACACACACAGGCACAATGAATCGTCGACTCCCAGGAAAATATGGGACACTACTCGAAGTGGGGAGAAGACGAACACCCAGAAGACGTGAGAAGATATGGGGAATCCTGGGATCCGTGTCCACTGGTTTGCGTGCCCCTGGGCCCCCGTGAATCTGGTGAGGGTCGAGGCCTCTGGAGCTTAGCGCCCCCCCCCCCCCTCGTGGGGCCCTCTGGGAGGCCCTGCCCGCCGCCGCCACGGCCGGGCCCTGCCCGTCGAGGGGTCCCTGCCGGGGGGTGCGCCGCTCGGGCGGAGAGGGGCTCGGTCGGCGCTGGGAGGGGAGGGGCCGGGAGAGAGCCGGGGGCGGCCAGGAGGGGGGTGATGGCTGGGGAGGGGGGATGCCGTGGCGTGGGCCAGGATGGTTCCCCAGGTTTCATGGCGCGCTCCTTTGCTTGAATACGTCCCTGGTTCCCCCCCCCCCCCCTGGGCCGCGCAAGTGCCGCCGGCCATGATTTGCGCCCCCCCC